TCAACTTCAAATTTCTCTGATATTAGGTAAACCTGACAAAGAAGAATATGGTCGTCAATACACGTTAGAAATTTTGCTTGATCGTGTATTAATCCTTGAAGGTCCCCAAGCTTCACTGTTGATTTGGTAAAAAAGGTTTTGAAATATGATAACCTTTAGGGCAATAAATAGTTCTTTGACACTTTGACAAAATGAAGTTTTCACACACTAATTTAGAATTATCCAAACCCTTGAATAAACTAGGAAGTAACTTACTAAGATACTGAAAACTAGGGTGCTCTAGCCTATAATGCCAAAGCATAATTTGATCCTTAACGGGTGTAGGATGAATACTGGTGAAACCTTGAGCTCTTTATTCTTGGAATCTTGGTCCTTAAAAAAGTAGAGTCCATCGGTATAGCATTGCCAATCATCTTTGGATAGTTTGCTAACGGACAACAAATTTATAAGTAAGTTTCGGAACATGTAAGACGTCTTTAAGGGAAATATTGTTTGAAAGATTTATCGAACCTTCGCTGGCTATAGAAAAATAAGATCCATCGGCTATACGGAATTTTTTCATGACCATAACAAGGAGAATATGAATTATATAGGCTAGTCATACTGGTCATATGATAAGAAGCCCCTGAATCGATGATCCAAGGAGTGGAGTGATTGAATGAGTGACAAGAGAAAGCTTTAAAGTTACTACGTGCTTGTGCAACAGAAGCATTAGGAGCACTAGATGAACCTAAGTTGGTCTTCAGTAGCTTTAGGAGTTGATCAATTTGCTCTTTGTTGAAGAATGTCAAATCTATCACGTGTGTTGTAGGTGCTTTATTGAACCGTTCATGTGATCTCTTCCAATTTTCTGGTTTTCCATTGAGTTTTCAAGACGTTTCTTGTGTATGACGTGGTTTGTTACAATGGTCACACCACACACTAGTTTTATCACCAGAAAAGGTTTTCTTAGTTTTTCTTCTTGGTATTTCGTCCATGTTTAACTCCAACAAGTAGCGCATACTTTTTTATAGTGTTGCTTGAAGTTTTTGTGTTCGGCATCACAAGACGGCGACCCTCCTCACATCATACTTCAGACAATACTCCCCCCGTTGAGGGAAGAGGCTGTCTACAAAAATCCTGCCTCTAACCTTCTCAAACTCCCCATTAAGATGTAACACCCCAACTTCTACATTTGCATATAACATGTACTTCATTTAAAAGAAATACAATTTACACCACAAAGGTCCCACTAGTACAAGAAACTTATATACAAAATTTACAACTCAAAAATTCCAAAAGAATGTTCTTGTACAATCACATGTACAACATGTATCTTCAAAATACATCAAGTAACAGGTTGATCTTCCAAAACAGCAGATAAGCACGTTAGGAAAATAATTACATTTTCCCCTTCCCCTTATCCCTTGACCCAACTGAACCTGCAATGCATATTTTAAAATACAAAATGAGGGATAGACCAGGAGGTCTAGTGAGATTACCCTTTCTTTGTAATTAAAGGGAGAAGATCACCAAAACCTGTTTAAAATTCACATTTGAATATTCAAACACTTTAAATCAAATATACCTTTAGTAAAGCAAAACTGCAAGTTATAAAACGATCTTACCACACAAGAGGGATAACCACTCAGGTTCTCACAAACATCTGAAATACAACTCTCAAAGCTCACTAGTCACAACTAATCAGAGCTGGTCTCAACTTCCATGATCATATAAAAGAGTAACAATAAATAACAGTAACCGGAGTTCTTGGTTATTATCAAAAGCTTTTAAGATACAACCAGATTGAAACTTTTAATGAGAACTGATTAAATAATAACCAACGACCCTTCGGGTTTTATTTCAAATCACTACTCTTTGAAATACTCATCTCAAAATCATTTGAAAACACGGCAATTAATGCCTCTGGCTATAAGCCATTTCTCCCCTTCTCAATAACATCGTTATTATCATTTCAAGAAGAGCAATATTCCCAAGCCTTCATGTCACAAAGAAATGTTGACTCGAGGATTATCGTATCTTACGAATGTGACAACAAGAGCTATAATAGTAACCACACACACAATTGCCACCCTTATCCAAATGTACACCTCTCCTTGATATGTCACGCTTATCACATGATACACCTCTCCTTGATATGCCACCCTTGTTTCCACTTCAAATCTACAGATAAATCTGTAGTTTTAGCCAATAATGGCCTCAAAATAATTTCATATCAGAAATTTTATCTCAAGAACTTCTCAAGTTCTTAAATTCACTTTTTAATCTCAACTCGGTATTTCTTTCAAAAACAGATTTCTCATTACAACAGTTTTGAAAGAAACAACAATATCTTTCTCAATTTATAAACCACATTTGAAAGATACAAAAATACCCTCAACATAAAACAATTTGAAACCGTTAAACAACATTTTGTGAAAACAACTATTTTTATTGCACAAGTCTTAGGCAATAACTGCCCCTCATCGGCAACACAGTCAAACAACAATAAACTCATCCTCATCGGACAATACTATGTCCGGATACACTCTCATCGGGCAACACTATATCCGGTAATCAACCTCACCGGTCAACACTCTGTCCGATAACTCATCTCACCGGTCAACACTTAAAAGATTAACATTCAATCCGGGTATCACTTAGTCCGATGAGCATCCTCACCGGACAAGGCATTTATCGATAACCTCAATCCGGTCAACACTAGAAGTCTCAAATATTAAGTTGTTCAACACTTTGGGCGAGGAGGTGCCCAATCCGGACAACTCTATGTCCGATAAAGGCCTTCACCGGACAAGACTATGTCCAATAAAGTCCTCATCGGACGATGAATAAAATACTCAACTTTTACACCGGTTAAGGTTTGGCCGGTAAGGACCCTCATCGAACAACACTCCGTCCGATTATAGGTCCTTATCGGACCATGCAACTTAACAAGAACATATGAACATACATACACCAACAAATTCTAAAACTGTAAAAACCAGTATTCATAATCATTTTCAAAGGTAGTTTAGAAAGACTCACCTCTATGCAAATAAGGATTTCAGCAAGACCTTTGAAGATGAAATTATACAGAATCCAAATCCACACTTCAAGATCACTTCAACTTTGAAATTCACAGAGTTCTTATTCTCTGTTTTTCTTTCTAAAATGGCAAGAAGCTTGCCTCTTCAAAATCACCCCTTTATATTTGCCTTAACAGGAAGGCAGTTTTGGGAAAGAAATATAAAATTCTTTTCTTTACCTTCACCATACACACCACATTTCAAGCATGCATATATAAATCATGCATACACACATATATGCATATATATACACACATATATGCATATATATATATATATATACTTCAATACATATACATGCATACTCTCATATACACAAATCCATGCATGCATATAACCACATGGTCAATTATGCAATTAATCATATATTCGCGTGACCACATAATCAAGTAATCAAATAACAATAACCAGGACCTGGTTATCACATAAGACCAATAAGAAACTTATAGATGCGATTATCCTCCATTTTCTATAATAATTGCAATCGTCAGTATACTTCCATTCATATTCATGGAAAAGATCTAAATCTTGCCAAAGTCTTTTCAAGGAATTGAAATACTTGGTGACAGAGTCCTCATCTTAGCAAATTCGCTTCATTTTAAAGTTGGTTCATATACCTGAGATTCCCCAAATCTGAGTACATCTAGTTGATGTTGTCCCAAAGCTTCTTGGCTGTATGATAGCACATGTAATTGGAGCTTATGCCCTCCTCCATTGAATTCACAAACAACGTCATCACCCTAGAGTTCTCAACATCCCAGGAAGCATGACTGGAGGTTACTTCTTTTCTCCGTTCAGGTAACCCAGCTTTCCCTTATCACAAATGTACATATGCACAGATTGAGACCAGCGCAAGTAGTTCTTCCCATTCAACTTAGCGGTAGTGATTTGAATGGAGTGAGATTTTGAGGTGAGGTTGTGGGTAGCAGCGAAGACCGATTTTTTTTTTTTTTTTTGCAGTAGACGTACCCATGTTTGAAGCTTCTGACATGCAGTGGCGGATCCAGGATTTTTGTTCAGTGGGGTCACCTTTAAGGTAGACTAAAAACCCGCAAAATCGTCTGATGTGTTTTTAACCTAATTACAACGTTTTTGAGGGAATTTTAAAGTTTTTTGGTTGATTTCGAAGAATTTTTTTAGTGTTTTTGTCGATTCCGAATAGCTTTTTTGGTTTTTTTGATTGATTTCAACAGATTTTTTTTGTTAGAGTAACAGTTTCGATTAGGGTTGGGGGCCCATGGAAAAATGTAATTGGAGGAAGTGAAAGGTAAATCATGTAAAACCTAAATTTAACCTATGAATTTTTGTTTTTGAGTTTTTGACTGGGGTCCCTTCCCCCCTCCTTTAAAGCATTGCATCCGCCCCTGCTGACGTGGTATACACTACTGCAGAATTTGGGATGGTGAAGAATAGTGATGGAAAAGGAAAAGAATGGACAGATATATCTGCAGCAATTAGGGTTCCTGCTCCAATACCATCTCAACATAATGGGTAATTCTTATATATTGACATAGACAGGAAACATAATATAAAGGAGTATAAGGAAAAAAGAAAGGGAAGGATTCTAAGCCTGCCTAGAACTTTACAGCTCAATACAGCTATACAAGAATTAATTTAGGAAATAAAACAACAAGTAAATATCCTTAAAACCATGAGACTTGCAACTTAATGTTGCAAGATCAACAGGTTCCTCGGTCAAAATGGGTAAAGGATGAGAAACTTTGTTATTTCGTTTGAGAAAAATTAGATCGTTCTTACGCTAAATAAGAACCAAGACAAACTTGGTTGCATTTTGAACTGTAGATAATATTACACTATGCCTGAGAATTTATGTCCATGGCTTCCAACTCCTTGAATTGCTAACTTGCTGTAGCAAAGCGTAAGAACATTGTTTCCTGGACGACTTGAATGGATGTTTATGTTGTTGAACTTCAGATTGTTCATTGGAGGAATCATCTTAGATTCCCAGAAGATACAATGTTGTCACCAGAAGCGAAGGATCTCATCTGCAGGTTACTATGTGACGTTGAACATAGGTTGGGTACATGTGGACCTGACCAAATAAAGGTATATACATTCAGACATACTAATTCGATTCTTAATTGTATGTTGAACATCTTTGTTTGCACAACTGTGCTGTCTCAGTCTCACCCATGGTTCAACGGCATTGTGTGGGATGAACTATACGAAATGGAAGCAGCTTTTAAACCTGAAGTCAATGGGGAGCTCGACACCCAGAATTTTATGAAGTTCGATGAGGTATACACATTACTCCATTTGAGGTCCTTTACAAGTATTTCTTTATATACAAATTATTCCATTTGAGGTCCTTTACCGGTATTCATTTACTTTGGACTATTCCAGTAAGTCATGTATGAATTAAGTTGTTTGTATGGATTAAGCTAACTGGTTGATTCTTTGTGTGTCATTAGTTGAATCCTCCATCTTCAGGAAGAACAGGTTCAGGAACCTCGCGGAAGGTGCGTCTTTCTTCCATTTAAATGTATCGTATACGGATTTTCATCTTAAATTGCTATAGTTAAGTGATAAGCCTGTTTGAATTGCTTTTGCTGGTTTTATTGTAATATTATGCAGCAGCAGTTGACTCCCAAGGACTTAAACTTTGTGGGCTATACATATAAGAACTTTGATGCCGTAAAGGCATTGCGTGATAATCCTGGTAAATGGATACATATTTTTGATGCACTTGCCTATTTTTCATCAAAAGTTTCTTCTTTTCTTTCTGTAGATTGAGAAGCGTAAATAGTTTGAGGACTGATGTACCTTCATGATAAATTACATATTCATTCATAATGAATACACATGTAATTCATTATGAATATTCATTGGTTGCTCTGTTCTTTCCATAAATACACACACACACACACACACACATATATATGGGGAATAGATTGTATTGATTAATACATGTTTGGTTTCTTGTTTTATGTCGACCAGATCTCTTGCGGAGTGCATCTAGTGATAACTTATATGGTTAGAAAATTACCAACTTCACTCGTATTTGCAAGATTTTATTCACAAATGAATAATAGTGTTGTTGAATGAAACTAACTGTAGGTGAATTGAAGATGGATGATTATACAAGAAAGCCGAGAGGAGGCAATGGAAGCGACATAGAAATGTTGACAGCAGGTGGTGATGCTGCTGCTGCTGCTGCTGCAATGTTGCCATAATTATGGGATTGGAGGCATAACTTGTTTGTATTATATGATCATGCATCATGTGAGGCAGCCCCTTTTCCATAAACTCATTATACAATCCAAACCTTAACAAGATTTATGGATTGATTGGTTGATGTATAAGATTATGCAAGTGTACAGTAGTTGCCCAGGTTGGCAAGTCAAAAACTTGCCTTCTCTTGTGGTAGTTTATTTCTAGATATGTTTGTTTGTGTGTTGTATCTGTACTGTTAAACCTGTCTTATTGCTTTTCTTGATCCCAATAGTTGCATCTGCATGACAATGGAAATTGCAAATTCTGATTTGTTATTTTCTAAGATATTTTTAATATTAGAATCTTGTGCCTTAAATCAACTAGTCACCATTTCTGTGTTTTTCATTGACAGGGTCTTGATTTAGATCTCATCTGATTCCTTTCATATGGATTCGATAACAAATTCAACATGTCCATCAATTTAGGCATATATCAGTACCTGAATTTATTCATTGATATCCATTTGAATATACATGGTCATGTTGTCTTTTTGGATGTGTTGTGTCACATGTGGTCTGTGTTATCTTTTTGGACATGTATCACATGTGGTCTAATTTTCAAAAGGAGAAAACTACCAATCAATAGATCCTTTCAATGGTGATGTATTAAGTTGTGCTTCATTTAGAGTTCTATTAGAGTAGTAGACTATATTGTTAATTGCGGTGCAATCGTGATGATCGGTCACAAGCAAAATAGCAGTGTGTAACATCCCATACCACACATTGCATGTAACATATACTTAATACACAAAATATATGTTTATACACCACATTGATCCCTCAGTACAAAATACATGGTTCAAAAATTCAAAATATATGGTCCAAAAATTCAAAATACAATTCTTGTACTATTCAATTTTCATCTACCAAAACTATACATATTATCAACAAATCTTCATACATAGGAAATTATCATATTTTCCCCTTTCCCTTACCGTCTGCATTTTTTGCAAACATGTTTAAAATCACAAAACGAGACCGAAAGGTATAGTGAGTTCCCTTTTTTATGTTATTGAAGGATGAAAATTACCAAAACATTTATTTAAAAACAATGTTTCATACTTTCATATAAATAACAAATACATGAACAAATACATCATATTATCACTACCTATTCAATTCCAAAGCCAATCTCTCAGCTTTAAATTAACATATCTAAAACTCAAACAGATTTCTCATAATGCCAATTTTAACCCTTTTTCAATTAACACAGGTTTATTTAAAGCTTTAGGCTAAACCTGTTATTCCTTCTTAATAACATCAAGACTATGATTTCCAATAAGAATTCTGATTCTAAATCCTTAAATCACAAAGAAATAAAGATTTCAAATCACAGTAATCTTATAGGATATAATAGTAAAAGTTATTTTATACATCACACATATAAATGCCACCCTCATATCCAAAGGTAGACCTCTCCTTGATATTCCACCATTATCCCATGATACACCTTTCTTTGATATGACACTTTTATCCATGATACACCTCTCCTTGATATGTCACCCTTATTTCCTCATCAAAACATTTACAAAATAATTCCAATTAGAACAGACCGCAATCATAAATGTCCTCATGGAATATCATTAATTTAGAATCCTTTTTATCAAAGTTTCCCATCTCTTTATAAAGAATATTTAAAATAATAATCATACAAACAATTTCAAGGTCAATGCACAAATCTGGTCAACACAAACTTGACCGAACTTCATCTCCGGTCAAGCTTTAGCCGGTTTACTAATCCGGTCAACACTATTATCTCTTGTCCGATTTATCAATCCGGACAACACAAATATTTGTCCGGTTTATTAATCCGGACAACTCAACTCAAAACCTTATCCGATTTACATCTAAACCGGACAACATATTAAGCGATTAAAGACATATCGGGTAACCCTTATTCAATTTATAAATAAACCGATCACCCCTTGATCGTATTCCTACTTCTCCGTTTAAAACACTTAACAAAATTTCAAAGTTCAAAATCTTTCAACACATAAACCGGCTAACACTTTAATCGGATTATCCTTAATCTGGATGAGACTACGTCCGGTTTATGTTTAATCCGGTCAACCTTTGTCCAGTTTATGTTCAATCCGGATGGAAATCTTATAACACCACAATTATGTATTTCAAAGAAATTAAAAACATTTTAACCACTCACCTTGAATACTTTTGAAAATCTTCTTGAAATACAGAACAAAAGCAATCCGATCAGCTTTTCCTTTTCTTTAAATCGCTCACTTCTTCTCAAAATGGCAAGAGAGCAAAATGAAGACTAAACCTTCCTTTTATATTTTTCCAAAACAGGATGACGGCTAAACCGCCTCCTTCACATGCATGCATTCATACTACTCACATACCCATGCATACACTCATTCATGCATATATCTTGCATATGCATTCAACATATGTATGCAAAGCATACCAATTCATGCACACACACACACATATATTCACATAGTGCATACATATTTTTGCACAAGATTTCATATTCTTGCACAATATTTCATATTCTTGCATGATCAAATATATCAATTTATCATGCTAACACGTAATCATATAACAAATAATAATCACGTATTAATTACCTCAGGTGATAACCAGGACCCAGTTATCACATTATCCACCTTTCAAAAGAATTCCGCCCCGGAATTCCTATAATCAAAGAGCCACGGATACTCTGATCTCATTTTTTATTCCAATCCCCAAGTTGCCTCTGATCCTTTGTGAAACTTCCACTGTACTTTAACCAAACTGATTTCTTTATTTCTCAACACCCTGATTTTTCTGTCAATCACAGCTTCTGGTGTTTCTACATAGTTCAACTTACTGTCCAGATTAATCTCTGGTAACGGTACAGCGAGACTCGGATTAGCTAAACATTTTCGCAGGTTTGATACGTGAAAAGTGTTGTGGATCAGACTAAGCTCTTCTGGTAGCTCTAACTGATAAGCCATTGGCCTGATTCGTTTACATATTCTGAACGGCCCAACATACCTGAGACTAAGTTTACCATTCTTTCCGAATCTGATAACACCCTTCCATGGTAAAACTTTCAACATCACAAGATCACCTACACAAAATTCAATCGGTTTTCAACGATTATCAGCATAACTTTTCTGGCGGTTTTGTGCTGTTCTGATTTTTTCACGGATCTGTTCAATCTTTTCAGAAGTTTCTTGAACAATCTTAGGACCCGTCAACTGCCTTTATCCTACCTCGTTCCAACACAACGGCGTTCAACATTTACGTCCATATAATACTTCATATGGTGCCGCTTGGATGCTGGAATGGTAACTGTTATTATACGCAAACTCTATTAGTAGCAAATGATCTTCCCATGATCCGTCGAAGTCAATGATAAAACTTCTTAACATGTCTTCGAGAGTCTGGATAGTTCTTTCACTTTGCCCGTCTGTTTGCGGATGATAAGTTGTGCTTAATCGAATTTCAGACCCTAGAGCTTTCTACAAACTTTCCCAGAACTTTGAAGTGAAAGGACTATCTCTATCAGAGATAATAGATAGTGGAACTCCGTGTCTGGTTACAATCTTCTTGATATAAACCTGAGCCAACTTTTCTAAAGAGTAATTCTCTCTTATAGGTAGAAAATGCGCAGATTTAGATAGGCGATCAACAATTACACAGATCGCGTCATACCCCTTTGGAGTTCGAGGTAACTTCATGATGAAATCCATTGTAATGTGATCCCATTTCCATATAGGAATCTCCAAAGATTGAAGACTTTCATAAGGCTTTTGATGCTCAATATTAACCTGTAGACACGTTATACACTGTTCCACATATTTGACTATGTCCTTCTTCAATCCGGGCCACCAATAAAAAGGTTTTGTTGGGTTCAAGGATGTGCTTAATTGTTGTATTCAAGTTCTCCCATTGTAATTGTCTTAGTAATAGTTAGCGTTTGTTAATTTCCTAGTATAAATAGGTTTTAGCTGGTTAATTGTAATTACTTTTACTACTCACTTTGTACTCTTCTCTCAAGTAATATCATTCTCAAGATTGGTGAAAATCTCTCTCTACTCTCAATTTATGATTTTGAAGAATTAATCTAATTTGTAGGATAATTGGGAATATCAATTGGTATAAGAGCTCAGTTGCAGCAATTTGATAGGAAGATTACACACAATTGAGGATTTTGCACGATTTTTTCTGGATTTTTTAAGAACTGTTCATCGCTGTTCTTGAGTGTTCATCGCAGTTTTTGATCGGATTTCACATTTTATGCTCTAATCTTGTCAATTCTGAGTGTTAATTGTTAAAATTTTCACTACTAGATTCACATTTTCATTCTGAACATCTTTGATTCACACCATTTTGAGTTTTAAGCAAGATTTAAACCGATTTTGATTGATTTTTGAGTTTACAAAAGAGTTTATGTTCTTCAAAAGTTCATAATTTTTCAAGTTTTGATCCAAAATTTTGGTAAAAAGTTGATAAAATTGTGTTTGTGGTTGAATATTGATCGTATAACTCTTTGATCGATTTAGGTTAAACCGCTTATTGCTTTGTGCGATTTAGACTTAGTGAATCTGTGTGTTCTGTTTGGTGTGCGATTTAGTGATAAACCGAGTAACGCTGTGAGCGATATAAGGTTAAATCGCTTATAGTTGTGTGCGAATTAGAGTTAAATCGGTTGAAGTTGTGTCCGATTTAGTGTTAATCCGAATATAACCTGTGCGATTCAAGTGTGTGATTTAGTCTATCAGTTTGATATATCGTGCGATTTTATCTTGATCTTAGTGAATTTGTGCGATTTAAATCTTGATCGTATTTTGACTTTGACCATAATTGTACGAGCTTTGACTTTGACTATTTGTGCGGTTTTTTGACTTTGATAGTCAAGCGATTTGAATTGTTTGACTTTTGATTGAGCGGATTGTTTGTTTGACTTTGTTGATTAATCGGATATTGAATTGTGCGGATTTAAATAGTTTGACTTGTTGACTTGTTGACTTTTTGTGTCCGTATTCAATTTTGTTAATTGTGCGTATATTGACTAAGTGTTTGAGTTGTCTAGATATATAATCTGGATAAAATGTGTTTAGCTTAGAAGTTAGACTATCTTCGTTGTCCGGATATCTAATCCGGATAAGTCTTGGTGCTAAAATTTTCTAAGTCTTGAATGTGTGCAAATTCTCAGTGTGCGGTTTATTGAGATAATTTTTGAATTTTAATCCTTGAAATCAAATTTTGAACTGCAGAAGATCTGATATCATATTAATCAGATAAAATGAGTTTAAGAGAA